TATATATATATATATATATATATATATATATATATATATATATATATATATATATATATATATATATATATATATATATATATATATAAACAATAGAGGCAATTTTGTTCTATTAATACTTACCACGATCCTGTTAACAGCATATTTTATTTTGTAATAACCAAAATACGAACATGCAATAACATAGTCATCTTGCCCGTAATTATATTCTAAAAGGACTATTTCGCTATTCTGTGTACCCACAATTTCTTCCATGATAAATATTAAAAAAAGCACATAAACAACATATTCCTGAAGTCATATAGCCCTAGTCTCTCCTAAAGCACTTATGTTTTAAACACATCGGTGTCCCATTGAGTCCCAATGCTTTTTTAACGTCATTAAAAATTTTAACGTCAAAATTATACCGGAGGATTACCTTATTAAGAGCAATCGACGAAACGTGTCCAAAGTGTTGTAGCCGTCCGGTATAACTTCCTCCTCCGGCGCCTCTTTGTCGAACCAATGCTTCCAAAGTTTCTCGGAGGCGGGTACTTGAGACACGATATACTGGAACTGTCGTAATGACGAGAGTGCCACTAGATTAAGCCACGTCACATCCGTGATCCATTTGCAAGGTTTCGGCTCGACCGTCTTTAAATCAAGCGCCGCGCCGCCTTTAACGAAATACTGGAATTCTTCGTGCGTGATGTTGCCGCGTTGCAGATCGATCTTTAGCGTCATCAACAGAATGAACATGTACTTGTGTATCTCGTAAAGACCGCGCGATTTGTATTTGAATATCTCATATGTCAGGTATTCGATGATATAACTAATTCTTCTTTGATTGATCGGGCTCTTCTCGGATCTGAATGATAAAAAGTGTCGCGATATATCTTAACGAGTTAAACGATTCACAACGATTTCTTTTAATTATCACGTTTCTGTTTACCTGATCATGGAGATATCGAATCGCTCTAAGAACTGGGCGAGTGATGTTTGATACATACAGTTGACACGCGGCATGTCGCATATCAAAAAATACAAAACGCTACCGCGCGTTGCGACCGGCCGGAATTCCTCACGCGCTGTGTCGATCTTCAACTCGGTGTCCTTCGCGGTACTCAGTTTTTCGTTCACTTCCGCTGCTGTCTGCTTTGTGGTATTTAATACCGACATTAATTCAAGATCTTCTATCAAAGGACCCTTTAAAACAATGAAAACATATCAGTAAAATGTTGCTATCAATTTTACTCTTCGCAGAGTCATTTAATCGACACCGTGAAACAAAATAAGACTCACTTGTACGGTTGCCAATTTATGCAGAAGATTTGCTTCCAGTTCTTTAATCTTTCTGTTGTTTGCTGCTACATCGGCAATTAGTTGCGTTTTCTCCGTTTCCAGCTCCTTCCTTTCAGTTAAGATGACTCTTCCTAAAAGTTGATCCTCTAAACCTGCACAAATCAATTAATTTGCATAAACATGGCTCGAGTAAAGCTCCTGCGAAAAAATATAATGTGCAACATTACCTTTCATCGTAACAGTGAAATCGATTATAGATGTACGAGCAAATATTTCTGGAGTGTAAAAAGGATTCGATAGCTTTGTTGTGATGTAAAGTCTGAAATCTTTGCTGACGTCCACTTCTTTGTCGCCTAATTTCACCTGGCATAGCAGTCAATTGCGTAAAGTATATAGTTGCACAAAATGCAATTCAAGATATATTCCTTTACCTTCAAGGCAGTTCCTATTTTTATAAAATTTTTGTCCAGTAAATTATCCAACACTGGATCTATGTCTTCCCCTACATCTTGTATCAGCAACGGTCGTCCTAGCGATATAGAATCTTCTAAATGATTTCTGAAGTACTTATGCGTAAACCATGTTATCTGAAAAACCCGTTATCACGCGCGCATTAAATCAATATTCGTCTAAATTCCATTTTATTTTACTATCGCACCTGTAAAGAGAAATCTTTCTCCTTATTTTTAATCCACGCTTTGCCTTGCAATTGTGGATCAATCAAGAGGGGATATCTCAACGCTTTCGTCACGATTATGCCATTCTGAATTGACAGTTCGTCGGTCGGCAATCCTTGCAAGTTCCAGTCACCGATCTGTGACGAATTAGACGATTTTTTCAAGATAAATCGCTGTGTATCGTGACTATATACTCACCGTAGCCGTATCAGTCAATGCACCAACGATATTTATGACGACAGAGATCGGGATTTTTCTTTGCTGTATAAAGTCAAACCACTTGCTTTGCAGAAGAACTCGGAATTCCTGATTGAAGGGCCCGCAATAAGAAAGAAATGCAGTTAACACCAACATATCTCCGACAAGGCGGTCTATTTCCGACTTGAACGTAGCTACTTGTTCGGTCCACCTAATTTTTTCTCCAGATAATCCTTCGATCATAGCGCTCGCGATATCCATTTTCGCTTGACATACCGCAGCTTGATCGATAATTATCTAATAAAACAGATATGTATTATATTGCAATGTGCATATTTATTATCTAATTGTTCATCATCATTATCATCATACTTGTCGTTCCTGCATCACAGCGTCGAATTCAGCCTGCACTAACTTCAAATCGTCGTCCTTCTCTTTCAGTACACTTTCCGCTTCGACTAAATTTCTGTTAGCTTTATCGTACTTACTCTCTTGAAAGAGAAGGTTCGCCTGTGAAATCATAGCATTTTATTACGCGTTTTCTGACACCGTGTTATTTTATGTAACGAAACTAGAACGACCAATATTATTTCACGGCATAAAAATATGAAGGAGGGAAGCGTTTGGGTATAGAATATTTCTCCTTTGCAAGTCGCGAAATGACATCGGCCGTTTTTCATTACATAGCAATGTTTATTAATAAGGAAATACCTTTAGAGGTAGCACATCTTTATTTATTCCATAAAAAGTAACCATAGAGATAGTCCACTGTATGAGACCCGCCACGTTCCCGCAGGCTTGCTTCGCAGCTTCGTAAGTGTACATGTGAAAATTTAAGTACGGTAACATCAAGTCAACAGTTTCACCATTAATGTTATCCTTTGGAAAATGTTGTAAATTATATAAAAATCTAGTATCAGCCATGACCTGGAAGAAATACAAATGATACTTCACGTGCGATTCGCAGTGGGGCTGTCTTTCTCGACATTATCCATTAAAATATTCGGTTTAATATACATAACGTTACCTTCAGCGCTTCCGACCACGAGGCCGTCAAGAACTGATGCTCATAATCGGGCTTGACCGGTTCCAGCTTCCTCCCGAATAGGATCAGGACACAGTCCATTATGAGCATAATTAAATACGGCGGTTTACTCAATTTGCGAACAGTGGCAATGTCTACTGCTTTGATAGTCTGAAATGTTAAATGTACGTATCGTGCCATCGAAGTGAACAGTGATAAGTAATTGATGTTGACATCAGTACGTTGACTTCATTGCGTTGATTTCTATTAACTACGTAAACATAATCGATGTTCGAGTTATTAAAGATACGATAATAAAATGTAATTCAAAATGCGTATAACCTTAATCTCATTTTACTGGTTCTCTATTGGCCGTGCAGTCAACCCTTCCAATGCAATTAATTATGCCCTATACGTAACGAGACGTTAATATCCTAACTTAATGAGACGCGATAGTATCATAGTGGCGGTTAGGTGGCTGGTGACCGCGGCGGCATTGAACATATTAATTATCGATCGTTTAATACTTGTAACGCAGCTTCAGCTTCTAATAAGGCAGGCTCCGCGGCTTTCAACTTTTGCTCCGCTATCATCTTTTCTTTCGCTATCACTTTCAGAATCGCTTCCGCTTCATCTTTCGACACTTGCACCTTTGCTTTCACGTGCTCGGCTTCTCTCTTTTTCTCGTTAATATCGACTAAAATCTAATTAACGTCGTGATATTACACGTATAAGCCGTGAATACGATAAAGCTGATATCTTATGGAAGGAATTGATCATATATGAAATTGGAACTCGATAAAATCAGCTGATTTCTTATATGTTGTAACTTATGACCAAAAGTAGCTGCTAAACAAAAAATGTCACAGGTTTAAAGCTAAATAATAGTTTGTCTACATATATAACATTCAAGATATAAACTGATATATATATATATAGATATATATATATATATATATATATATATATA